GCTGGCCTTGCTTAGTAGATTGTCTGAATAAGACGCAGCGAGCCGGGAACACGCTACGTGATTTAAACCCCCATTATAACCCATTTCAAGGTTGTTGAGAATCTGCCCTGCTTTTTCAGCAAAGAGGGTCAAAACACGTGTCTGGTGCTGAAACTGTTAGTTCATTAATTGATTAATCAGTCGACAGATCAGTTGGTATAAGTCAGATTTTCTCAGATATTTTCCAGCTTCTAAAATGTGAGGATTGATTGTGTTTCTCAGATTTATGTGATGCAAAGACAGAAAACAAGCTATTTGAAGACACGTTTTTTTTTCTTTCTGACATTTCACAGATGGGTAATTATTCACAGATTAATCAGTAATAAGAAAAATGTTTACAATTTTAATGTGCAATGGATCAAGCATTTAATTATCTTTATTCCTGTTGGATTCACCAACAAATTACTGATGCAGGTTAGTCACACGTGAGAAAAGTCGAAAAACTGGTAAATGCTGATGTAAGAACATTCAAAGTCATCAGGTTTCAGTGCCCTACAGATTATTAAAGTAAACAAATATTTACTGAGCAGCAGTTAAACATCCCAGTGTATCAGAGCAGCTGTTTGTGTGAGCTGAGTGTGTGCAGGTGTTGAGCTCTCTGTGGGATCATTCAGCCATTTTCCTGCTGGTTCCCGTACACTTGTTTATTAGACGCTATAAGGACCATACAGCTGCTTTTGAATGTTGTTGACCAGTTAGGCACAGATTGCGTAATGTTTTACATCCCTGCTGACCATTTACCAGAGCTTGCCAAAAAATGTTCCCTTCACTTCACCTTTAAACTATCAATGATGCAACTGCAAACTTACTTGAGAGGCAGTCAGTAAACACGATTCCCCATTTTGTCAGTCACATGTCAGTACCTCAGGTCGGAGAGTTGCCTGCAACAAAACAGTTTTGATTTAAGTGATCGTTTAATGTACAGTATCCTTTTTCACGATGCCAATGTTCTCTTTTTTAGTTAAATATTTCATTGTTAAATTGACTCAGATTAGTGTACTGTAAGAAGGTATATGTCGGAGAGGGACTGGATTATAGAAAACAAGTATAGGTTGCTGCTAAATTGCTTATAAATTAGGCCTCTTCATATATAAGAGAGAAATAATGTGCTGTTTCTCATTAATAACTTATGAAGGCTCACGTTTTTATTGGTGGGATCGTTTACGACCAAGCTTAAATTATAAAAAGTCCCCCCAAAAAAGAGACAATCATTTTCTTTTTGTTGGACAAATGTGCCGGGGAACATCTGCCCTGGGATGCCCTGACACACACCCTGCATCCAACAGAAGCACACACTCCTGCTAGTTAGCGACAGCACGGCTAGCCACAAAGCTACAGTAGCATTTCCTCTAGACCAGCTCCTCGGGTCCTGCTTCAACAGATGGCCCAACTGGTCCCTGGACAGGCCTGCAAGGAGGGGGGAGAGTGGGAGGATGGGGGAGTTAAAGGGGGATGGAGGGAGGTTGTGGGGGGTTGGCACCCTCTTAGGAGGACTGAGGGGGGGGGGGGGGGGTGTGGGGAGGGAGGGAGGGAGGTGGAAGACATATGTCCACAGCCCTGGCCCCTGCCGACCGACTGTCTCTGCTGGATGCCTGGCACACACACACAAACACACAAACAAACACACACACACACACACACACACACACACACACACACACACACACACACACACACACACTCACTGTTTTTGTAACCAAAACAGTCACCAAAACACAAATCTTAAAAGTCAACCATGTGGGGACAAAAAGACGGTCCCCATAAGGGAGGTCAGTCATCGTGATGTGACTGTGTAAACAGACTTTGGTCCCCGCCATGTCAGTAATATAAGTTTACACACACAGATACACAAACTTACTCCACTAAACCTGGCACAGCTCCTCTCCCTCTCCATCTGCACCTAAAAGACCCACGCGCCCCGACAATGAGGTGACCATGTCACTGCCTGAGCCGAAGCAGAGGGAGAGAGTGAGAGAGTGAGAGAGGAGAGGGAGGGGACGTGGGAGGGACACATTAACAAGCTATAATCTCAACTGCCTTATCCATAATGCATTGTGTGGGCCAATTTACATGGTGCTGGTCCCTCTGGGAGAAAGGAGATCATCCATCACATTACTTTATTAGCTCCCTCACAGTCTCTCACAGATGCACACACACACACACACACACACACAAACACACACACACACACACACACACACACACACACACACAGACGCACACACATCATTATTTGTCCCTGCCCGTCCTTCTCTCTCTCTCCCTCTGTTTTGTTGGCCTGTTTTGTCATGGTTGTTGTTTCAAACTGCTGCTGCCTCTATAAAACAACTCCACACCGTGTCGTGTCGTGCAGACTGTGACAAACAGGCAGGGATTTTTCTTTTAAAATATACAACAATAGATTATTTTAAAAAATACGACAGCCTCGGGTTTCAGGGTGAGTCATGGAGGAGTTTGGAGTCAGAGGATTTAGGTAAATGTCAAGAATCTGATGCCAGGCTTTGTTTTTCTGAACTAAATGTATGAATTAATAAATCTCGCAATAGTAAATCCACAAAGTACCTTTAATCCCCGATAATTTTTCTTCAGATTAACATAAATGTAGTCACTTTTTAGGGGAGATTTGAGGACATCTAAAACAAAAACAAACCTTTTGGGACAGCAGAGTTCTTAATATTGTGTACGTGAATTTTGGTTAACTTTTCTTCCCCACTGACTTATAGTAAACACCCACTTTGTGTTTGTATGTGGTCATTTCGCATCAGTAGTATCAATCTGTCCATCTGGGAAAATATAACTCCTTTTTCTTGAGATTTTTGAGATTATTTATTTTATTAAATGAAGACATTATCAACATTATACCGAATAACAAACAATCACATCGTACTTTGTACATACATACATGTTGTAATTAATTCACTAGGGTTTTTTATGCAGATTCTAGTTAAATTGAATTGAACTGCACTTTTGACCAGTTACTGAATAGTTTAGATTCTAAAATCAGGATTAAAAATCATAGTTTCAAATATATAGTTTTATATATGATCATTTATAAGATAAAAACATGTTGATCTTTTTGCACGCGTCCAATTTAATGCATATTTTTCAGATTTGATAGTCCATAACAAAATAACTTGGAATTGTATTTCATATCTCAAGGCTTAGCCACACTGTCTATTATAACCATTCAGTTAACTTTATTTGTATTTGTTTTTATTCAACCAGTAATTATGATCTAATTATTATAGTGAATGAGGAACTACATTAAGGTTTAAGAAGTTGAGAGGAGAAATTATTTCCTCTTAATTCTAAATCAGTCCAGATGATACAGATACATAAAGAACACATTAACATGTCCATAAAACTGTCCTGAGTTCAGTTTGTATGTGATGCGTGTGTGTTTGTTTGTGTGTGTCTAATGACTGGGTCGAGTGAAGTCTTCCGTGCATGTGTCTGAGAAATGAATTGTTGGCACCTTAGCCACACACATACAAACACACGCGCACACACACACGCGCGCACGCACGCACACGCACAGATCCATCAGTAGTGAATAAAAGAGATGTAATTGCAATCATATATGTGGGGCTTCAGCACTACGCGCCATACCGTACCATTAGTATCACAAATAAGTAATAATTTGCTAATGACAACATTATGTTGAGTCAGTTTAGGGGCAATTAAAGTGAGTGATATTTACATATGCCCAATGAATCACCGAGCGTGGCAGTTCAGGCGGTCTCTAATGAATATTCATCCAGGCATTTCTCCCCTGCGCGCTGCAGTTTATAAACTGAATTATGGCTGATTTGCCCTTTTAAAAAATGAACATGGGCGCATCTCCCACAAGGAGGCGGCGAACAATAACGTCTGATTATAAAAATGTTTTACTGCTAAACTGCCGGTGAGGAGACGGTGGCAGCGTGGTTAAAGGAGGGACCTAAAATCAATCCGGTTTAGTCCCCGCCTGTCCACCTTTTAGACACACATATTACGCATTCAGAATATCAGACTGAATGTAATTGATTTGTTTTTTTTAGTAATCAGATCTTGTACTTAGGGAAACGTAGAAGTAGATTGTTGGAATACTCTGTTACAAGTAAAAGTCCTGCATTCAAAATGTTACTCAAGTAAAAGTACAAAAGTAGCCTACTAGCATAAAAATGTACTTTAAATAAAATTACTTATTATGCGGATTGGTTGGGTAGAAGCACAGCAACAAAAGTAAATACTCAAATAAAGTACTCTCATAATTGTACTAAAGTACCAGTACTTTTTACACCACTGGTAGTTTGTCTTCACATTATCCCAAGTGAAGGTCACAGTTTCTCCCCAACCCTTTAGGTTGGATTTCCGTAAGGAGAGGCTGCCTCAACAACACATCCGGGGATTTCTCCGGTAATTGCCCCGGTGTTTGTCGGGGGCGGGGCTGACCTCTCAGGTGCAGGATCAACAGGCGACATCAGTTTACATTCAGGGCGCTTAACAAGATGGGCTGCACGTTTATCATGCAAATAAGCAGCTCTCTAGCAGGTGTCAGCACACACACACACACGCACACGCACACGCACAAGCATGCAGCGTCTTTAAACAGGACTGCAATCATTATCAAATTAACAAATGAAAACAAAGACACACACGTCTTTTTTTAATGACCAATGCAGCTGTACCTCGTAATGAGTAGATTTTAAATATGCAATGTAAAAGCAACAACATTTTATTTGTGTATAGCTTTAGATTGGTCACACCTTTAAAATGTGAATTCACAGTTTCTTTATGAAACTCTAAAATCAACAAATGGTTTATATGTATAATATTAGATATGCCACTGTGTATCACACATATGGACATATATTGTATATATTTGCAACAATTCCCTCCTCACGTGTCTGATGGTGGAGTTGATTTTATTTGGACAGACCAGGTTTTGGACAATATTAATGATTGATTTACAAGTCATGAGTTAATCATTTATTTTTGTTTTTGTTGTAAACAAGTGCAAGCGATAACATTGTTAATTTCACTTTTGCAAACCAATAAATATCATGCCACACTTCATTTACTCTTAACAATGTACCTCTATCCTATGTCATTCATCACAAGCTTTTAAAGTGCTGAAATGCTTCATGACACATTTGTTGAATTTAATGTTTACTGGATTTTTAAAACAGTTAAGAACAAAAAGAAGAAAAACATGTTTTATCTCCTGCTGTCATATTTATATTTATTATCTCAGTCCTTCCTCAACACTTCAGTTTGCTTCTTCCTCTTTTACTGAGATGTATCTGCTGCCATCTTGTGGTTTAAACCTGCATACATTTCAAAACAAACTTCAATGTCCCAGAGGAGATATCTGTGCTGTTACACAGGGACCAGAGGTCAGTGTCAGCTGGAGAAAATGAAAAAAGCAGAGCTGCGAAGAATTCATTCTGTGTCCAAATGTGTGGAATGTCCTCCCTCTTCATGACATTTTGGCTTAAATACTAAACCTTCCTGTTTTTCTCATCTGATAAACGTGGCTTCCTGAACCGAAGAAAGAACAGCCAGCAGCTTTTCATTCAGTCTGAATTCAGACGTTTTGTTGGATGAATTTATTGATGGAAGTTCTCATTTCTCTTTTTGGTGGAGAGGAAAAACAAGAGGAGAATAAATGCTCAACTCGTTCTCAAAGCCACCAGATCTCCACTATCATTTCATATTAGCGATTACACCATTATCTAATTTCAGTATTTAGAAAAAAAGGACTCGTCAGCTGGAGGGGGTTGGCTACTCCCTCAGAGGGTCTCTCATTAGTTAAAATATGTTCTTCTATCATGCTGATAAACAGCTGAAACAGCTGAAAAATATAATTAAAGCTATTTGACAATAAAATCGTATGTAGTTTTCTTGTTTTTTTAGTTTTCGCAAATGCAAATTTAGTTGAAAAAACAGGTTCTTAGTGAATGTCCCTATGAGTAACTTAGGGAGTTTGTATTTCGAGAGCCTCCTTATTTATTCATCAAAATATTGAATAATCTCTCCTTATTTCGGTATCACGACTAAGAAACTTTCCCTTTATACGTAATTATCTATCTCAAATTTGAGTGTCCATTGCTGTTTTTGCTCAATCTTTGTATTTGTCAATGTATGTTATCGTATGTGACAATGATAAATACAAAGTAGTTTAGCCGGGCCATGTGAGGAAAGATTGGTGGCCATTGGTTAACAGGAATGTTTGGTAAGCAAGGGAAAAGCAATTGGGAAAAATCCTACTTTAGATTCTCCTTAAGAAAGAGAATAGTTTGTGAAACAGGACCCCTGCTGAGCAAGACAGAGATTGTTTGCAGGTCCTGAACACTGGATCCTCTTCCCTCTGTTGTTCTAAGTTACTCAGTATCAGTACACAAAGCTGACATATATGACAGAGGTCTCTGGTAATTTCGGCAGGTGGAGGTCCTGAAAGGGCAGCATGCCGTCATTGTCTATATGAGTTTGGACAGTGTAGGCTTTGGCCTCCGCCCCCCACTCCAGCACGGAGCTGTGGATGACCCCCAGTCGGGCCTGTTCATGAAACGCTGCTCCCAGCTCCCTGCCCAGGAAGATGTCTTGGATCTGGGATGGGGAAAAATCAAAGGAATCTCTCTGCAGGTCCTCAACCACGTCCATGTTTGTGTCTTCCTCCCTGTTGTATCTATTTGAGTCAAAGTGAGCTCCATTATCCCTGTCTGGGTCACTGTTTGAGGTTCTAAATCTGTTTGCATCTGGACTTTGATAAACAGGCCTCTGCGCTATGTTCACCATGGTCAGTCTCTCCAGGTGCTGCACAGAAAAATGTCCCTCCAGGGAAGAAGAAGGCGTCTCTCTGGATCCACAGTGGATGAGAGTTAGGTGCCTCACCTCAGAGTTGTTGAGCAGACGTGCCGTGTTTAGCGGCGACGTGAACCAAACTGTTAAACGTCTTGCCCCGAGAACAGGGGTGGAGTATGACTGGATGTCCTTGCATCTGCAGTCTGTGAGGGACGACAGGCTGCAGGGCTGCGGGAGCTGGCTGCAGGAGTAGTAGAAGAAGCTGTTGTGGGTCACATAGGCCAGGCGCAGGTCAGAGCGCTGCAGAGCCACCGACACACACAGCAGCACACAGAGGAGCGGGGCGGGGGGGCTGAGGGCCGCCATCACTGCTGCAGGAGGGTCTCAGGCAGCATGTTGACTCATGTGGGGGGGGGGGGGGGGGGGGGTGTCTTCAGAAACACACCTGAGCCTATAGAAAAGAGAACACAATATCAGAGAAGTACTAAACAACATTTTACACACTATATACTGTATATATATTAAAGGGGACCAATTATGCTTTTGGGGTTTTTCCCCTCTCCTGTAGTGTTGTGTAGGTTTCTGTGCATGTAAATGGTCTACAAAGGCTAACATCCCAAAGTTCCCTCCGATGGGAGTTTCTCTCCTATACATTGACATCATAGTGACATCACTATATAACACCAGCGCTTCTATTGGCTAGCGCTCCAACAAATTGTACAAGATAAGCTAAGCTAAGGGACGGGACATCTTTAAGCAGTTTACCCATCACAACAGAGCTGGCGAGCTAACCAATCAGAGCAGACTGACTGGGCTCTGGTTTCAGACAGAGGCTGCGTCTCAGGTCGGTTATTTTCATTTCCTCGCTCGTCGGTCCTCGGTATCACCATGGCGCTTATTTCTGCCGGAGGACCGAGGATCGAGGAGCGAGGAACGATAATGGAGGAGCGATAATCGAGGAACCACCAGACCATCCTCCGATGAAATTCTCAGATACTCGCCCCGCCCCCTTACTGTGTATCGCTCACTGATTGGACGATGCAGCGCATGCACTGATCTGATGCTTCTTGACATGAGAGCAGTTTCCCAGCGGAGTGAAGAAAACTGACTCACGAGAGTCACTCCTCAGTTTATACTGTGTTTTGTTTCAATTAATGTATAATTTAGTTACAAATATGTGATATATCTGAACAACAAAGTGCTCAAAAATCATTTTATTAATTTATTGGAAACATTTTCATGACCGCTTTTTTCGTTTATACATTTTAAGAATGGCGTTTATCTTTTTTGAGAATGAGTTCTTATTTTATTTTATTTATTTGGGTCTACAACAGATGATACAAATGTTTGTGTCAGTAAATGTATACTAACAGAGGCGGGGGTGTTTGTGAAAATAACGGGGACAGAGCTGGCTGCTGTCAGAAGATCAGCTGTGCGGCGTCATCACAAACGGACGTCGCTTCACGTGACGTTCCGGAGGAAAGGACGTCCCATTGCTCTTAAAACTCATTTCCCTGCTTCTCGTGGTTTCCTTGCATCTCTACATGCTTCCCTGGTGGGAGGGACTAAACGCAGGGAAACGACGCAAGTGAGGGACGCAAGGATTCCATTTACTAATCGACCTGAGAAACAGCCAGAGGGTGAAAAGAGCAGCATGGAAACATGTCACAAATACCAATTTTAACCTGAAAGTGAGCAGAATAGGGCCCCTTTAAGTGAAAGATTTGAATATTTTTTCACTGCATTCCAGCAGTATTATTTATGTTGGTCCTCCCCATGTCCGATTCTATTACTTCGGTTAATGATTTACAACAACCCCGGGGTGCTGGTGTGAACTTTCATTTCATCAACACATAATAAAGTTACCTCGACATAAGATAATAATCCTGACATTTTTGTGGCCAAAGTTCAACTGCTGTTCAAAATCAGCATTAGTGAGAGAAATGTTTATATAAAAATAAAAATGCTTGGGTCTTATAAACAAACTCAGGACTCTTTCAGCGCAGGTCAACTTTCATACAGGAGATTCATGTTATTGGATAGCTGAGTGAAATGCTCCGAGGTCGCTCCCCTGTGTCTCTCATCCACTAAGTATGGCCTTACCAAGACGTGAAGAGAGGGGATGTGGACACACTGACAGCTGGTTTGGATCAGCTCTCTGACCCACACGCACGCACGCACACACACACACACACAGGCACACAGGCACACAGGCACACACAGGCACACACACAGGCACACACACACAAACGGGTGTGTTCCTTCCTGCTCGTTTCTTGGCACTTGGAGCCCTCATTGAATTTCCCACATACACACACATTTAGAAAATTATAACTGTGAAGATTGCTTTGAGATTCCAGGGAAAACATTGTTTAGAAATCTTGGCTTTCACAAAGGTCTGGGCCACGAACACGACTCTGCCTGGTTTTGAAGCCAGGGCAGAGTTGACCACCACATTCTTCCTTCCTGCCTCATGTGACTTTAAAACAGAAGTGAATTATCTACAGTACATTTAACATCCTGTTTCTTATCCCCTTTTTATGCCTTTAAAGTTGTACAAATATACCTATTTCACAATGTCTGACAGTATTAGTATGTGCTTTATGATTTTTATGGCTGCACAATTCAATAAAAAGGCTTGTGCATCATTTTTACGCACATGTCACACTGATATATTTGGAGACACAGTTTGGAGGGTCTGAACAGTGTTCGTTTTTACTTACTGACCACAGCAGGCCAGAGACTTTTAGGATTCTTTACTTTTCAGATTTTGCTTGCTTATAAAAAATATCTCAGTAAATAACATACTGAATGTGTTTAGGGATGAAAAATAAGCTATTAAACTAAATACGTTTGATGACCACAGTGTTATTGACATTAGGTATAAAGCTGTGCTTAAAGGTACATCTTATGATGCTCTGAATTTGTTAACTAACCCTACAAAAACATCAAGACTCTTTTGGTAACAAGCGTTTAGACCTCCATCGTTCCCAAAATGATTACCGTCTAAGCTCAATTGAGCCACACCATGACATGTTTTTTCAAACCGCTGAACACAGGAACCGCTGTTTAATTTGCGTCAATGGGTCATCCAACACATTTCTAAATTACCAAATCAAATACAACTGCAATATTGAATTCTGTCGGCAGTTGCTTTCTTTGTTATCTTTAAGAATTTTAACAAAACAAATGCAGAGTATCACAAGACGCACCTTTAAGCACAGGTTCACACACATGTCAATAACACTGCTGTCATCAAAGGCATTTATTTTAACAACGTATTTCTCATCACTAAACCCATTTATTTCGACCTGTATGTCTTTATATATAGGCTTAGGGCTTAGAGCCTCAGACAGGCTGGGGAAGTTGTAAACTACACTTTGATGGCTTAATATCTAAACATGTACAAATATCAGCAGTCCTTCAGTAAAGCTTAAATTGCTTCCTTCAAAAATGTATTTTCTCATTAAATACAATTAGATTATTTTACAGTAGTTGTTTGAGTTTTCTAAACTGTTGTTATAAGTCTATAAAATGCTGCCCTCACCACTTGAATCAATTGCAACTGATGCAAATCCATACTGACCACAGTTGCCATGCTCAGCGACAAAGCAAGTCACAAACTTTGAAGAGCCACCTTTCAAGTGTGCAGACGAAAGGCTTTGGATTCTCATGAGGTACAGAACTGGTGGATTATCCCTTTGAGATGAACATCCAGGAATAGTTAAGAATGTCCTTCGAAGAAAAGCCACAGCTTCCTTGATTTCAGTGTCCAAAAAACAACAAAAGTCTGAACTGACAAACCCCTCTATAGCAGCCGTAGTAATTATGACGGGAGCAAAGACCGCGAGACAATGTTGTTTTGTAAAGCTTGACCACAACCGTTCCCGAACCTTAACCGTTTATTATTGAAGCCACACTGACAGAGGTTGCCTGGCAAAAACAAAATAGTAATTTTCAAACCTTAGACATATTATCACAGATTTATTTTCAACTCTGAAAGAGTGTTCTTCTAGAGGTCATGGACAAACAACATGGTTTGCTGTTGGAAGACTTTATATGAGTCACTTTCAGGCTACATTTTGGGAAACAAACCTCATTCATTTCTTGCTGAAAGATGGATGACAAGAGATACAAGGTAGTACTACAGTATATAAGCAAACCACGAAGCAAAATCACTTCACCAGCACCTGTAAATATCACTTTTTACATCTTATATTTAATCTGTACAGGACAAAAGTGTAGCAAATTAACTTTGTTTTCTATTTTGGATGCTTTTTAAAAAACTTTTTAGATTTAGATTTTTACATTTAGATTTGACAATTGACATCTTTTATTTATTTTTTTGACATATGAACATATTTCTAAAAGTTACACAAAACAAGGTTAAATGTTTTTCTCAAATGTGAGGGAAATTAACTATTACGTTTTCACTGGAATTTTGCACCACATTTTTTTTATTCAGCGCCTTATCATCTCGGTAAGAAAGCATATGCCCCAAATGATGAGGTATTCTTTTTAAAACGATAAGGTTTTTGTAAAAACAAATGACTTAAATAACCATGGCCTCTCCATACTGAAGCTATCCAGGGCTAATGCACTCGAATTTACAAAAAAACTTTTTAGACGCCATAAGAGGCAAGACATGAAGCGAGTTGAATGTTTTTTTTTTAAATATGAAAATCATATTTCTGTTATGCACATTGATGCTGAGAACAAAGGGAAAACCAGGAGGAAGATGTTTTCATCAGCATTATAAAACACTTATTGACAAAAGCTCAGTTTCACGACCACGTAGCTCTGCCCAGCTTCGTGGAAATGTGTGAAGATTTACTTTCAGGTGGCCACAGTTTGGTTACACCCAGGGAGAAAGTGGTTGTGTCCTGGCTTTACAATACTTTCCACCCACAGCGATTACCATGAATGAATGTCTGAGCACATATCTGGAGGAACTATGATTCACTCACTTGAACATGAAGTGACTCAAACCTCAAACATTTGGATAAAGAAAAATGTTTGCTCTGTAAGACATCTATCATTTATTCTCACAAGGTAAACTTTCAGAAGTTCACAGTGGGATTTAACGGTCAATCCAGCATCATAAGCAGCTGCAGTGTTTCTCAGTGACACATTTTACACTTTTTCATCACAACAGATCTGCGGGAATGTTTCTATTACATAAGTCTCAGACACAGGAATGTAAAAGCTCTGTAAAGTAATATGAGAATATACAGCAATGCTTGGCTCTCTGTCTCTTTTACGGTCCAACTGCAGGGAACATATAAGCTGTTAAAGTACAGGAAATTATCACCAATACACAGTTAGAAAGTGTTCCAGATTTCTGGGGTGTAACTCACCTCAAGTTGCTGCTGAAGAGCTGATATGTGAATGCGTCAGTTTGAGGCTGGGATGGGGAGGAAAGCTCACATCCAGCTGACGTCATGATGGGGGAAGTGTCCCACAGAGGAAGCTGTAACTCACATCAAGTGCACATTTAGTTCAGCCTCAAGAACTGCAGACGAACATACCATAAAAGACCTGAAGCAAAAAGGGTAGGCTACCCTTCATAGTCGATCTTTATGGGCCATTTTATGTTTGCAGGTCCATTTAGTATGTTATCTTTTGATAGAAATCCCATAATGTTTACAAAAGTATATTTGGCATTTTGAAAACTGTAGCCTACCTAATTAAAAACATTTAGATTTGTTTGTTAAAGTATCATTTATAACATTGTATGTCTACAGGTCCATTTAGTACATTATCTTTTGATAGCAATCCAATCCCATTTTTTATATACATTTGTTTCTATATTCGGGATTGTGGGAAACGGTATATTTCGATCTCTCTGTCTGTACACACAAATTGGAAGATTGACTTTGATGCAGATATGTTAAAGGTGGGGTAGGTAAGTTTGAGAAACCGGCTCGAGATCGCTAGAATTTGAAAATACACAACCGGAGAAAATCTGCCACTTCCTTATAGAGTGGCGAAGTCCCTCCCACTTACTTCCGGGATATGGGACCTTATTTCGGAAAAATTATGCATTGAAGTCAATGGGGAGAGAAAACTTATCTTTCGATCCCGTTTGAATTGTGCCATGAATTACACATATGATGTTTGTCAATCTTAAAAAATCATTTCCATGTCAAAAAAGTCACAGTTTGTCGTAAAACTGTTGAAATATAAGACTATGAAAAAATACGTAACTAGAAAGACTACAAATCCCAGAGTCGCGTAAGTGATGTCACAATTGTTTACCTCCACCATTCAGATACCTAAGATCAGCGCAATATAGATATAATCTATCTATATGGCGCTGGCTAAGATAAGATAACTTTAACAAGATGCCTGTGTGCTTAGTACCAGGTTGTTATTATACCAGCAATGGGTCTTGCTCGTTCTTTTGCTTCCCGTCTGATGAAACGACCAGGAGTGGCTTGATCAAGTTAGCTACCTAGCTAGTAGCTAGCACGTTAGTTAGCATTACAGCCTTGTCATTTTTATTAGCCGTAACATTAAGTAACCCAAAATGTTAAACAGTAAGAGTAGTAGTCATATTTCGTGAACCCTTTGAATAGTACTGTCACCGGTGTGATCATTCTATAATACACCATTTAATTCCGGGGGAGAAATGCTAACGCTAACGTTAGCATCGGCGATCTTTTCTACTTCATGCTATCTGCACAAATGGTTGACATTAAACATTAAAACGACCAGGCAGTTCAGAGAGAATCAAAGGAAGGCAGGCAGGCAGCTTTGCATGACATTCTTCAGGACGTGTTTCATTGTGGTGATAGTCAATCGTTTGTTGACAAGACAGTAGTGACGGCCATCTTGGTGACGTGTGTGGTTGACCAGAGATGTAGTTCATTTAGCGTTTCACACAAACAAATGTGTTACTTCACAGTTTTACGACACATTTTTTTTTTTTGACTTGCAAAATTATCTTTTAAATTGACAAACATCATATGTGTAATTCGTGGCACAATTCAAACGGGATCGAAAGATAATCTTTCTCTCTCCATTGACTTCAATGCATAACTTTTCCGAAATAAGGTCCCATGGAGGTCCACCGGAAGGGGAGGGACTTCGCCACTCTATAGAGCCCCTCCTCCAACACAGATGGAAGGCTGACAGGCAGGTAGGCCATCCAGTTATTTTAGCCAGGCCGGCTAAAATGATTGGTCGTGCTTTTTACAGTACTACTGCTTCCACAGATGACATTTTTTTATGGATTTTTTGTCAAAGCACTTAAAGGTAGGGTAGGTAAGTTTGAGAAACCGGCTCGAGATCGCTAGAATTTGAAAATACACAACCGGAGAAAATCTGCCACTTCCTTATAGAGCCCCTCCTCCAACACACACGAATGTGCACATGACCAATGAGGGCACGAGATAAGTTTGTGCACAGATGGAAGGCTGACAGGCAGGTAGGCCATACAGTTACTTTAGCCGGGCCGGCTAAAATGATTGGTCGTGCTTTTTACAGTATTACGGCTTCCACAGATGAAATTTTTTTATGGATTTTTTGTCAAAGCACTTAAGATATTCATTGCTATCGGGATGTTAAGAGCATTCCATGGAATATAACAAAAAGTGTATCTCGAGCCGGTTTCTCAAACTTACCTACCCTACCTTTAATGTTTACAAAAATAAATGGTCATTTTGAAGCCTAGGTATTTAAAAACATTTCGTTCTTTAAAAGTTACGTTTATAACTCTGTTGAATGTATTTTTTAATAATGTATACATCCGTAAAGCTAACACAGAAGTGTATCAATATACTGCCATAAAGAGTAAATCTTTCTCAACAGGAAATACAGAGGCATTTGTTAAGAAATCTTCCTGGGAAAACCTGGTTATTTCCCGACAACGTGACAAACTGTCACAGCACACAAGCCAACTTTTGCTGCATTCAAGTGCTGTCGGATATACGAACTGTAGGGTGTTCACGTTATATTTTTATATTCTCCTTCAGATTGAAGTCATTTTACTGTCCTGGGTTATATATAATCTATATCTCATGGATACAGGGATAAACATTGGAGGGGTTTCACCAAAAAAAAAAAGGGTTATCACTTTTCAAATATTTATTTTAGGATTGTAACAAAACATTGATGGCAGGGAAACAAAAATCCAATATAACATGTTGTGTGTCCATTTGTCTCTTTTTTGGCATACACAATAGCTTTATTTGTAAGCAAAGGTGGTAAGTAACCAAGTACATTTACTCAAGTACTGTACTTAAGTAACAAATGTAGGTACTTTACTTGAGTATTTCCATTTTATGCTACTTTATACTTCTATTCCATTTAAAAGGGAAATAATGCTATTTTACTCCACTACATTTATTTAACAGCTTTAGCTACTTTTAACCAAATGCATCTCTAAAAATGTAATAAGTGGACTAACTCACAAAAGAGTCAAATTATTTAAATATTTTACAAAAATTCAATCAGAAAGTTATTTGTCTCCAAACGTAAAATACTATTAGTATTTGATGCAACAGTATTATCTAGAAATGTCGCATATTTAAATATAATTTGTTTAACACAAGAAGGCCATTTTTCAGCACAATGATTACTTTTACTTTTTATACTTTAAGTACATTTAGCTATTTTTGTACCCTTACTCAAGTAAGATTTTGAATGCAAGACTTGTACTTGTACTGGAGTATTATGACAATAATGTAATGGTACTTAGAGGTAGAAGAAGTATTTAGATCATGCACTTAAGTAAAAGTAGAAGTGCCAGGGAGTAGGAATACTCTGTTACAAGTAAAAGTCCTGCATTCAAAACGTAACTCAAGGAAAAAGTACAAAAGTATTGGTTTCAAAATATATTTAAAGTACTTGTTTCGCAGAATAGCCAATTCAGTGTTATATATATTATATGTTTTGATTATAATTATTGATCATTAAAGTGTTATCACAGCTGGTAATGGTGGAGCTCCTTTTGAGTATTTTGTATGCTGCAGGGTAGCTTGTGTTACTCCAGGTGTAACTAAAGTATTATTCAAGTGTTGTTTATATTTCACATCATCATTAATCAACATCTGCAAAGTAACTAAAGGTATTAAATAAAGGTGGTGGAGTAAAAGTACACGATTTACCTCTGAATTGCAATGGGGTAGAAGAACAAGGTAGCACAATTTTGAAATACTCAAGTAAAGTACAAGTCTCTCAAATTTGACTGAAGTACAGTATTTGAGGCCTACCATTTAATTTCTTAAATGAAGCAAAAGCAACATTTGCATCTGTATCTTCAGAAGTCCAAAATTACGAGGTTTGGGAAAGGCAGCATTAAGGAAGGTCACATCCGCTTTTGGATTTCCAGCGGATCACATTGACAAAGCTGCTGATTGTGGGAGACGTCCTGCTGCTCACACTATAGCTGTTTCCCTGCAGCTTCCCAATGCAACTTTAGATACGTTAGATTACACATTTTACGAACTTTAATAATATAATAACAAGAACATTTGACTACCAGTTAAGTATGGATTTGGCGACATTTCATCCCGTTATCCTGCTTCTCGCCTTGGTACATGTTGTGTTGGCCCTGGGTAAGTTGTTGCTACATTACTAGCTTACGTACATCCATTAGCTAACTTACATCGTTATGTTTGTTTGTTTTCAACACTTATATGAAGCCGAATTATTAAGAAAGTGTAACAATACACAATTATGGAAGTTCTTTACTGAATATCGTGGTTTATGTGGCATTTAATTAATGTTTAGTATAAATAGGCGATATGAGGACGGGGCCCTGGATGCAGGAAAACGGCGAATCACTGCTAACTAAAAGCGCTCTACGTGCTTGTATCGGGGAGAAATTGTTTTTTCCCCCCTGTAACTTCTCAATAATCAAGATTATTATTCTGTGTTAGAGTGTTATTTCAAATCTTTAAAATATACTTCGATACCCTTTACAACCAGAGAGAACCGGCTAGCGTTGCGCACATCCATTGTACAGTTGGCTATGTTTGGGCATGTAAACAACTGTAAACAATCTACTTTGATAGGAGAGGAGTTGTAAGGGAGAGAATTACATCTGTAATGGTAAATCTACTAAACTAATGTATACTGTGCAGAGGTGGAAGAAGTACTCAGATCTTATATACAAAAGTATTAGCATCAAAATATTCTTGAAGTACCAAAAGTAAAAGGACTTGTTATGCAGATTGGCCGATTTCAGAATGATATACATTACACGTTTTATTTTACCCTTAGAGTGTTATCAAAGCTGGTAAATGTGCACCTAGTATTAATGACTTTTTATGCAGCAGGGTAGCTTGTGAATGAAATACTAAAAGTAAAGTACAAGTACCTTAAAATTGTGCTTGAGTAAATGCACTTAGTTACTTTACACCACTGACACTGTGTGAACATTTGACCCCAAAACACAAACATATACTCTTGTTAGATCACATGAGGCGGATTGTTTGATCAAACCGACTGATAGCTTTGTCTTCTGTTTTCGGGGGGGTTTCTTTATTTCCTCTTTGTACCTTTCAGTATTACCCAAGACACTGTGTTTGTGCAATTCCTGTATTTTGTTCATTGTTAGAAGCACGTAAGCAGACTTTTCACTAAGTAGCCCAACACATTCACAGATCAAAACCTGCAGAAACCTACCATACATCAGTTCTGAAGTAGATTGTGAACTCTGCCATACCTGCACACGTTAAGTTTCGAATTTGATGAAAATGGTTTGCAGTTCTTTACTCTTTTTGGCATTTTTACACACACAGAAAAGACCGTCAAAGGGGGTAGGGTGGGTGACAAATGGTGTCAAAAACAGGATTTGAAACTGGCTGTTGGAAGAACCACAGACACTGCTCTGCTGCAGGATGATTTAGTGTCTGTTATTCTTTGTGCAGTGTAGCTTACATCAGCTCTATCCTCTCATATTAAATGTTGTTCACAGACTAATGTACTAGTGCCTCTTTTGGCCCTCACTGATGGAGATGAGTGGCAATACATAACGCTAATGACCATTTTTGGAACATATCCTATCATCAATTATTGCACTTTAATCAATGCATGGTTTCTAACCTCTACAGTCTGTGGGAATTTCTGCAAGACAATGAAAGCTTAAAAGCATCTTCTTGGTGCTATCAGCAGCGAACGGCTCTAAACTCAAGCATTAATGCAACCAGACTCTATAAAGAGTGGAAAACACTCATTACTTTCAGCTCTATTATTGATAAAGCAGTGATTAAAGGTAAGGTAGGTAAGAATGGAGGAACCAGCTCGAGTGCGCTAGAATTTGAAAGTACGCAGCCGAAAAAAATCTGCCCCTTCCTTACAGAGCCCCTCCTCCAACACACACGAACGCGCACATGACCAATGAGGGCACGAGATAAGTTTGTGCACAGATGGAAGGCTGACAGGCAGGTAGGCCATCCAGTTATTTTAGCCGGGCCGGCTAAAATGATTGGTCGTGCTTTTTACAGCGCCACGGCTTCCACAGATGACATTTTTTAATGTATTTATTGTCAAAGCATTTAATGTATTCATTGCTATCGGGATGTTAAGAGCATTCCATGGAATATAACAAAAAGTGTTTCTGAAGTGATTAGCCGCGTTCACACCGCACTACTTTTCCCACTTTAGTTCCGATATAGTTCCGAAATGTCGCGTTCACACCAAAAAGAGCCGGAACTCAAATTAGTTCATCAGAACCTTTTTTACCCCCTTTTCCGTCCCTGCTAGAGAGCAGGTACTTTCGCGGGAGAAAATTGCCCCGTAAAACTCCAAAAAGTTTTGTGAAGCCGCCATTTTATTATCCTTGCATTAGCATTATTAGCATTAGCATTAGCCCAGTGCACAAACGCAGAGAGACTAACTTATGGCAACACAAAAGAAAACATGGGAGCGGTGGAGATGAGGAGGTGTCGGCGTTCTGGCGATTTACTCGGAAGGCTTCAGTAGAAGCTGCTGGGAGCTTCTACTGAAGCCAGTCCCCAACTCCGGGGACTTCCGGTGGCAGTATACGCTGTGAAGTTGTTTGCGGCCTGCCAGTAAACCCAAAGCAGACGAAGTGACGTCAGCGGCTTCATTTGCCTAATCCTTCCCCAGGAACTTATTCCGGTGTGAACGCGATCGGTACTTAGTTCATGAGAACTAAAGAGTTCTCATGAACCTTTGTGGGAAAAGTACTGCGGTGTGAATGCGCCTAATTACCTACCCTACCTTTAATGATGAAAATGGCAACACTGTTTATTTGAACCCGTTGACATTCCCCACATATAAAGTAAAATGTGTGAGGGGAGTTAAAATCCTTTCATACGAAGCATTTTAAGCATCTTCCTGATATATCGGGCCTGTTTTGCTCAAACGTCTGAGGATTACTCCGATAAATGACACAAACACTTTTAACATCAGACTGAAATCCTACCACAGAGCAGGATTTGACACTTAATTATACACTTGTTATGACTTTTACAGCTTCCTAAAGATGCCAGTATGCAAACTCTAATAAAGAAGTTAATGTTTCAGTACATGGGATGTATTGCTTTTTTTCTTCAGTGGTATCAAGACTCAAGTAATTACTCTGTTGTTTTTAATTTCAAAATGTCTGGCAAAGTGACATCCCCAGTTAGGAGTGATTTCCTTCCCTAGGAGGTGGGAAATGACAGGCACAGGACACAAGGTTAACTGCTTCTTATTCCTGCATAGGTGACTTGTGGAGCTACATGAGGGATTGAAAACCCTCACATTTCCTTAGGTTGAGAGTTCATCGACATCCTGTCATTCAGAAACAGGAGGCTGTGTAATGTGGTGAAGGTGTGTTTCATGTTGTCGTCAGAGGGGGGGCTTGTGGGTGTGAACTGCTGGTATGGATGAGTTTCCACCGCAGCTTTCACAAAGTCTAGGTGTGTTTATACAGTAAAGAGTATCGTCAATCTGTCGTAAAACACAACTGGATAGTAAAGATCTCCTGTTGTCTTGTGTCAATCTTGACATATTGCCATAATTCCCCTGAATTTAGACAATTGTGATGAGTCAACCAATATCATCACACTACTTGTGTCACAACAAGTTGGGCTTTCCAAAAAAATATACACCTTACCTTTGAATTTGCTTTCGTTCATACCTTAGAATAGATATTTCTCATTATCTCGTTTCACCTTCAGTATGAGATCACCACTGTGCCTGTTGTGGAGACCTTTAGCTTGAGACACAATGTCAAATATATATTAGTCCACTAGGTGACAGTTAAATATATATTACATTACAGCAGGAATCAAACATCTACTGTTTTTGTAGCATAGGCTGAAGTATGTCCGTAGACGATTTTATTCTAAGTCAGTTGACAGACATTTAAAAAAAAGCAACTTTTACGACTATCAATGAATCATTACGTTTCCTTTTGTTCAAAGTGAAACTGCCAACAAATTACCAAATTCCATCTTTTAAGTTGTTCAGGATGTGCCTCTTTTCTCAGTTTCCTTTTTTTGTTTATTTTGAATGTTATTTAGTTGGCTTTTTAAAAAATGTTTTCCAAATGTCATTATCAGTCAAATGTTTGGTTACATTTGTAATCTTGTTGGTGTTCTTTTAGATTTGATTGCTCCTAATTTAAGATGACATTTAAATGTAATCTGTCTTAAAATAAGTGTTAGTATGCAAGGATCTTGTGTGACTGATTGTGTTTAGACGGTTAACATTTGAGAACTTTGGCTCTGTCTGTTTTTTGTTAGAAAAACATGTTAATATTTCTTAGACTTAGGCAAAAAAAGCATGGACTAGAATGGAAAAAGGATCCCAAGACTGAGACAACATGGGTATTCAGTGTTTCCCACAGAATTTGATTCTATTTGTGGGGGCACCCCCCGGCAAGAAAAGCCAAAGGCCCCTTAACCTATTCGGGTGGCCCACGCATCCACCCCCTCCTCAAATAACAAAATACGTGCAAGTTCATGGCTACTGTAGCAGACAACGTTCTTGTTGCTCTGTGTTGCGTTGTTAATGAGACACACCGGAGTTGAGGATCTGTGGGGTTTATTCTCCCAAAAATATCATTTACAATTTAGGCATTTAGCAGACGCCTTATTCCAAAGCGACTTACAGTACAATGACCAACAGGGACATTCTCCCTGGAGTAACTGAGTGCCTTACTCAAGGGCACACTAGTGGTGGTGTTCCAGGCGGGATTTGAACTCGCAACCTTCCGATCATCAGCCCACCTCACTATCCATTAAACCACCAAAGAATTATTTAACCCTAACGCACAAATTAATCAATGTATGGGAAACACTGATCAACATTTAACAATTCTTGAAATGCCTGTATTACCTTACATTGATTGTGATCTGAGCAGAGCTTGTGTTGCTTGCCAAGTCTTTATTTACAGTGCAGTGTTATTGTGTCATGTGTCTAGTGTATATACCAACTAAATCCCTACAGTGAAGGCAGCCATTACTGATGTCAGTGTTTTGTAAACACTCTTCATGCAGCATGTGGAAACGTCTGCAGTGAGAAATATTTCCGGCTCACAGATTAAATCTGTCCGAGACGCTGCACCGACAGGAAAGCTGTGTTTAGCTGTCTCCTCTGT